GAAAAACTAAGGTATGACTAATGCTTCAATATTGTCAATCAACTAAATTCATTCTCATGATCAAGACAATCTTCACAAACAATATTAAGACTTTAAGGCTTGTTAATGAGTTAATAAAGATTAATGATTTTGATGATTTGCAATGTTTTACAGATTTTACCAAATAATGTATCTACGAGATGACACGAATAGTAATTACCTTTGTAAGTGTGAAGTGTCAGCTGCTTCAAACAGCATTTTATGTCAAAAGTCTATTCTCTACCCACTCATGAAACCAGGATGTGTTCATTGCTGAAATGAACACAACGTAAGAATCATAAAAAGTAAAAGATTAATCGTGTGACATATGGTTTCTTAGGTATACACCAAAGCTCGACGGTTCAAATATGTCGCATCTACTGATTGACCAAGTATATCTGATATATGTTCACTACGAAAATTCCAAAGAAAGACCTACTTATCCAAATGTAATTGATCCTTTCTTGTAAAGTACACACTCGTCCGTGCATTCCTTATGATATAATCATTCCCAATTCATGTGGGGATTGTTGGGTATATAGAAAGAGTTAATGGGAAACGGAGGTAAGATGAAAACAGAGGAACCTAGAAAGTTGGGAACTTGAAAAGTCCTCTCATGTTTTAATAAAAGCATTTCTCCTTCATCGGTGGTTGAAATAAAAATAGAAGAGTTTAATTATACAAATACTTCTATTAATTGTAAAGAAGATTGTAAAGAGGGACCCCCCTTGCTCCGTCGTAGTCGTCACTCGCTCTGCTCAACTCGACTTCGGCATTGGAAAATGAACGATCCAAAAATTATTTTTTTTGAACAAAGTATTTTTTAACAACTTATTTAATTAATTAAATCAGATAAAATTTCCAAAAATATTTTAATTATTTAGTTAATTAACTGAAATGTTCTGAACAAACTCAAATCTACGCGACCCATTTTATTTAAATTCCTTACCGTTTTCTATTGTAAATGACTGTTTAGAAATGTTGCAACTTTTAGGAACAACCATAATCGTTTGAAATGTGGCAAACTTTCATGAGAGGTCGTCTGGATTCTTGAAGGGTTGCAATCTTTCGGAACCACTTCCTCTTGCCTATAAATACATGTTATTCTTCAAATATTTTACGAACAAAAAAAATTGATTTCTTCTTCTTCTGTGCAAAAGTTTCTCAGTGAACTTTACTGTTGTTGCACCCCATGTTTTCTCAAAAAGGGTTTTGATGCACGACTTAAAAACTCTTTTGGAATTTTTGGGTTTTGAAGAGTTGTCACCTAACGAATTAAGGTGCGTTGGGGCAGCTATCTCACCTAACGAATTAAGGCAATTTAGGGCAGCTATTTAACTTAAACAAATATAGCTAAGGTCAACGAACCAGAGATCAGGTAAGGGTTTATATTACCTCGAGGGGAAGGTGTAAAGAAAATCTTGAGGTCCACAAATGTGGGTCTCGTCCATATCCCAAGCAATTTATGTGGCGGTTACAAGTAGAAAATAAGATCACTTTATTATTTATTAATTTTGACATGCTAGATATGTCATAACATAATATCAAACAATAAACATTAATTTATTAGTTAAGCATGCAAGGCTATGATATAACCTATTTTCTTTTGATTTCTTCTATTTTGCCGGATTGCAGAGCTTTGTTAGTGGCCTGCAAGGCCTTGAGGTTGATGATAGTCCTATTTTTTATGCCTTCCTCTATTCTTTCACCTAATTTTATCATTTAACTAGCATCATCCTGTTATAAAATTATGGCTCTTGGGCGCGGATGAAGTAGTCTTTCATTTGGGATTCCTGCACGAGAGGTCCGACCCTAGCCGCCTCAGACCTCCATCTTATGGCGTAATCTCTGAAGGATTCTTTAGGTTTCTTCTTCAAGTTTTGAATGTAGAACCAGTCAGGTGCATTTTCTACATATATACAAAACATGTTCATGAAGTTTGTTGTCATGTCCACCCACTCAACCCATTTCCGAGGGTCTTGCTTAAAATACCATGGTAGGGACTCCCAGAGAGACTCCTCATTAATCATTTTGTGAGTACATTCTCATCTCTCCCCACCCGTAAGACTTTGACATAGTACATTCGTTGGTGGGATTTGGGACCCTCAATGCCATTAAACATCTCAAACTTTTGAAGCTTGTATCCTTCAGGTAATTCTACATCAGGGTGCATGTACAAATTCTTGTAGCTCACTCCTCCTAACCTCTTGCTTCATTCCACATGTTGCACCCTATTGGTATATCTATCTAATTGCACCGTGTTGGACTAGATATCTAATCTCACGGTAAAAGTTTTTATCAGAATGTCCTTCTGGTAGGACTCTAATTCATGGAGGTCATGGGCTACAAGAGAGGTTTCTACATATATCGGATTGAGGTTGTTATTTCCAAGAGTATGTGAAGGGTTTGCATTAGGAGTTGTTTCCGGAAGGTTTGACTTGGTTTGCTGGTAGTAATGGTGAAAAGACATTTGGGTATTTTGAGGATGAATTAGTGGGAAGATATTTGGATGAGTGGATTCGGTTCGGGATATATTGGTTGGAGGATTGTTTGGCATGGTTTTTTAGTTTGTTTGACGAGGATTGTCTATATTTTCTTAAAACTGGTTTCCGAGAGAGAAAGACAACTTTGCCAAATCGCGCATATGTGCTACCTCTTCTTCCAAATCAAAAATCTTGCGCTCAAGTCTTATAAAAATATCACTTGGAAGTTGTCCTCCCTTAGAACTTTCTAACCTTTCATTAGTGGTGTTGTCGTCAACTATTTTACCATTGTGTTTGCAACTTGCTCTTTAAGAAGGAGGAGAAGGGGGGTCCCTTTTGACCGTGTATGTGCTAGAATGAAGGAAATATCAACCTTAGGATGGGGAAAAAAATAGGATCAATAGAAAATGATTTTAGGGGATTAGGATAATATAATAATAACAACACATTGTTTGAAATAAATGCCATAATTGCATGGGACCTCATTGAATTAAAGGTAGGCATAAGACGACAAATAAGTGATGCACAATAATTAATTCGAGTCTCTTTTGACAATTGGAGTTAACAGTTAGAGAAATAATAAAACGATTATTACATCAAACCAAACTAAAACCAGAAATAATCTAAAGGGATAGGGATAACATATGGGAAACAACATTTAAAAAAAAAACCTCAATCATGCTGGTCTCCAATGTTTGGTGCAATTTACTCTTTCATTTCCAAGTTCATGTCATAGTCATTGATTAGAAGATTATGGGCCCATCTTCTTTCCATTTCATCACCAAATCTGGGAAGGGATCCTTCACTTAAGTCCCTCTGCTCAAAATCTTCCACGATCCATACATAATACTCAGACGTGCAACAGGGTCATTGTGTTTGGACATCGATAGACATTACTCCTTCCTATCTTATGGCATCGATGTCTGTAGTTTTGGGTCCAAATTTATACCCCTATTGTCCCATATGTGAATGTAAGGGTATCATTTGGACTTTTCCGAAACTTCGGAGGACTTGAAGAGATACGTATAGTTGGAGCCCTATAAGTCCAATAAGCTCGATTAAATATAGCTCATGACCCATAACCATGACATGACCAAGACACAATCACTGCTAATTTCATCGAATTTGATCTCCAAAAAGCTCTCTTAGGTACATGAATTAATCTTCAGTTCCCACATGAGCAAGAAAATGCTTCATCCCCATGGAATGACAGAATATTGTATTTCCCATGTAACTCAAGATGTCTAACAAGTTATCTCGCTTATAAAAATGTTCAGTGGCCCATAATTGCTCCTTCAAAATATCTTTTACCATTAGCACATGCAATCAAAGCCCTTATTATATTTACAAAAATCACAGGCACTATAGTCTTCCAAGAATTTGGTCCCCCTTGAGCTAACATTTACACCACATAACCTAGATTAGTACTAATTTTTCTTTCTTTCATAGGAAAGACTAAGGAGCCCAATAGTGCGATGACGAAAGCTCTTAGAAGATATTACTGCCACTATAAATAGAACAACCAAACTCTGCATTGAAATTTTTATGCCAATTTTTTCACAAAAGCATGAGTACTAAAATTCCATCGAAATACATCGAGAATCTAGATAATATAGATTCAAATTACACCTCATCCCTAGACTTTTCAAGAGCTTCTTTTGTAATTGCCTATCTGGTATGATCATTTGGCAATATTGGTGAGGAAGGTCAATAAATCCGCTGATTTCCTCAAGTGTTGGAGTCAACTCAAAATTCTTGAATTTGATGACCAATCTTGCGATAAGTAACTAAGTAAATAGCATATTGACCTTCCTCACCAATATTGCCTTCCTCACCATTAATGTAGACAATAAATTATGAAAAGATTATCACTATGAAATATAAATGTAGGATATGATATTTATTTTTATTATTATTTTAAATAACAATAGCATATTCGATTAATAGTCCAGAAATTACTTTAAGTGGTAAATCTTGTTATTAGTCATAGCAGTAATATTAGTTGATTTATTTTTTCAAAAGTGGTAGAAAATGTGCACAACAAATTTTATTTCAATTACTGAAAATTATTCAAAGCCTATAAATAGGATTTCTAGGTGTTCGAAAAGTCAAAACATTATAACGACACCTATAGACATGATTTTCTAACTGCAAATGGCATATAAAGTATTTTTAATCCTTAGGCATGAATACTACGTGATAAGACATGCTAAAAAGTTATTGACATAAAAGAATTATTAACATCTAACCAGGTAACCTATAAAAAATTTAATTACTATATAAAATTAATAAGCACGCTGAAAAATAATATTATTCAGAAAATCACAGAATGGTGACTAATTCATTATTAATCAATTAACAAAAAATTAACATGGAAGACAAGATTTTAAGAGATCAAGATTATACGAAATTTAAGACATATTCACGATAAGTTAATAATGTGATCAAGTTATGAACATGGTTTCTCAATAATTATAGGCATGGTAATTTTATTAGCAATTTTGGATTAAATAGAACTTGATTAATGAACGAACAAGCTTAAGTTGTTGGAACATGCAAGAATTTAAAATTTTACTTAACCTTGATGTTATTAGTTAAGTCAAATGCTCATGATATTTATCCTTATTATTTAAATTCTATAGACATGATCCCTAAATGAATAAGTTTCGAAATATACGACAATAAGCACGCAATTCCTCTCCCCTTAGACGGTTCCCAAATTCATTTCATATATATATCTATCTATCTATATATATATATATATATATATATATATATATACACACACACTAGACGTGGAGGGTGGTACAAATATTACAAGCAAAAAAAAAGAAAAAATGAAAAATATACAGCATTTAAAATAAATAGCTTCATCCAAAATTTTCTTCTAGGCAACTCTTCAACATCTTGAACTTTAAGTTCAAAACCTGCTAGAACGGATAATGTAACACACATATATAATGGAAAAATAATTGTAACATCAATATATTCGTAACACCCAATTACTTTCATACATATATAAACAACACAACGAAATAGATAAAAAAATAATCATAGATATATTATCACACATAGAGGGAAATGATAATGAAGCTAACTTACATGATTCTTTGATGTTTCATTTTCCAACACAAAACAACATTCAAAATTATGCGAAACCAAATTTAAACTAATGAAGAGGGCTAATTAATTATGCAAAAAGTTTATCGGCAATGACGTATTTAGTAAGATTTCAATCCAAAACAACAACACATCTAGAAATAATGCTCAAAGTTTTCCCAAAATCTTCTTCATTTGGAGAGAAATGAGCAATGAGAGAACTATTTTTTTGAGAAAAAGTGAGTCAATATCAAGATGTGTAAGTGAATGAGCAAAGAAGGGAGGGTCCTATTTTATATAGCAAAGAGAGGGAAACATATAAGAGAAAGAAAAATTTCAAAGAAATCAAGTAATATACTATTTTCCTTAGTTACGAGGAGAGGAATATCAAATTTATGAAAATATTTTATTAGAATATAAAAAAGTAATATAAAAATTAGGAAGATTAATATTATTTTTCTTTAAATAATAAAGAGAAAAATTAAAATTATTTTTTACCAAATATAGAAAAGTAAGTAATCAGTCAAGTTTAATTAAGGTAGGCAAATTTAGTTTACCGTAATACAACATGTAAAATGAACAAGGAAAGAATAATTTTAGACACTTAATTGATTCAATGAATTAAATTAGACATAGAGGGAATTACATTCAGATTTAGTCATATATATATATATATATATATATATATAATGTTGCCTAAATTGTATAATATTAAACGATTAATATGTCAAAATTACCATAGGATGATGAACTAATTAATTACAAATAAACTTATTCATGTCATCAATACATTAAAACTAAAATCAAACAAGTTTCATCTATGACTCCATTCACATGTATGAGCACAAATTATTCAGAAAGACAATTAGCAAGAATGACCAATTATGTATTATTAAGACTAATTTATGCATGAGACAGAGACTTGATGATATTATATCAAAATCAAGATCTATATTGGCATTTTGTTGACCAAACTAAACAGGAATCAAGGCAAAACATGTGTACAATCTGAGATACCAAGCATGGAAACACGACATCGCACCAATTACTGGGTAAAGTGCAATACTAGTGAAATGAGATCAAATCGAACATATAAACGATAATATCTCAGACATATTAATCTCATAACAGCCAAAGATTCAACTAAAATAAAATTTAAATTAAAGTTTACTTGGACGGATCTATTGAGATCCGTATTCAAACTCGAACCTTGCCGAAGAAAGAAAGAATGGAGACATGAGGGTCTTTCTGGTTGGAGCCATTTCTAGCAGGTGTTGCTCATACATTGTCACTACTCCTTGTCTGAGCACTAGAGTTGCTAGTTTTCGCCAGAGAAGACAGGAAAAGAGAGGGAGCGAAGGGGAATTAGAGAGGGGAGGAAGAGATGGACGGAGGTGCTTCACTGACCTCTGAGAGAGAGAGGAGTCGAGGCAGCGCTGACCACCGCTACTTCTGTCCTTCGTTGTGCGCTGCTTCCAGTAATTGAGGCTCGTCAGTGGTCCTTGGTGTTCTTGTCTTTCGCCGCCTATAGTAGCTAGAAAAAGAGGGATGGAGAGAGGGTGAGAGGGGAAGATAATAACGAGAGGACAAGCGGAAAAGAGTGCCCACTGTCGATTGTCGTCAACCAGTGGCATGTTGCTTCACCGTAAAAGAAGTAAAGGGGGCAGGGTGGCGCTTTGGAAAGATGAAGAGGAAGATGATCAGTGAATTAATTTAGGTTTTGGTCTTTTTGTCTTCAATTAGTTTATAAACTGGGAGATTTTGCCCCAATCGTTGATTTCAAAATAGATGGAGGGCCAAGATTAAATAAAGAGATCAATGGTTAGGATTACTAGATGGGTGGGGTTTTCTAATTTTGATTTAAAAATTGGCCAAAATTGAAATTACATTGGCTAGAATTGAAATGATTGAATGATTATAATTGGAATGAAATTGAAATTGAATAGGCTAGAATTAGAATGAATTAGAACAAAATAGGCTATAATTTAAAGGATTTAGAGGAAATATATATGAATTCCATCAAATTAAAATACTACCAATATAATAATATATCTTATAATTAAAGTTACTTAAATTTATGAACATTTGAATAACATAATCATTTCGCATTTATTTTAATTTTTTAATAATATCTACGATAATTTTGTAAAGCAAACATACTCAAATATAAAATTTTTATGTAAAATCGACTAAAATTTGAAACTTATAATAAATTTTAAAATGTGTATTTACTCTAATAGAATTCCTAAAAATGGTTAAAGATTGGTTAAAATTGGGTGTCAACAACTCTCGTTGAGTGATTCGCTGACACCAATGTTTTGGATATCAATACACTACTGATTAAGATCATTCTATCTTGTGAGGACATATTCAAAAATTAAACCTTAGATACGAGAGGGGAATGATTTCCTTAAGGAGACACTGTGCATTAAGTGGGCTTGATCTTCATCTTGTTCTGTTTTTCCAGATTCTGGTATGGGTTACAAATTTAAGTTTGTGAATTAATTTTTGTTCTTCTATTATTCTGTTCTTAAATGGTTTATCAAATTTTGGTAACTTCATGTTTCGGCAAAGTTTGCTAGAATCTGCAAAATTATTTAAACAAAAATTGCTATGAATCTTAAGGAAATTATTTGTTTTTGTATAATTTGTGTTTCTGGCGAATATAAAACCTTCATGGTTTTATACTTGTAATAATTTTACAGTTTAAGTTATTTCTAACTGAGCCATCTATATCAATTTTTTTCTGTTACAAATTCCTAAATGGCAAATAATAATCTGATGGTCGTTGTTGCTGCACCAACCCGAATTGTTGTACCAACAATAGAGAAACTAGGAATATTATCTGATGTGTTTCAAAGTATGGCAACAATGGGTCTTTTTCTAGATTATCACTCTTGGTCTACAGATATTTACCAACGAAGAAAATCCATTGCCTACTACTAATATGTCAGACAGAGAAAGGTTCACGATTATTGAAGCATGGAAACAAGCAAACTTCCTATGTAAATGCTTTAGAGGATGATTTATATAAGTTGTATAGTGTAATAACAACTTTGAAAGAGTTGTAGGATGCACTTGAAAATAAAATTATGTAACATTTCGTAAGTTAAATTAACTAGGACTAATCTATGAAACCAAGAACACTCATTTTTTGAAATAAGTAGGGAAATCTTGAAAAAATTCATCTTTCAAAAGTGACTTTAATCATTTTCAAATGGTCATAACTTCAATATCAAGAGGAGATTGGATGAGTTCTTTATATTATTGGAAATCCCTTGCGAAGATCTTTCCAACGCCGCTAAGTTTGCGAAATCTGAGGTTGTATGAGGGAGATATGCCTTCCGGAAATTGGGTTGTGGAGTTGACGAAAATTAAATCCGGAATTTACTAAGGACAAAGTTATCTTTTCACCATAGTATTTCCGAATTAATTTTAAGGTTATATTAGGGGTAAAACCGAATCTGAAATAAGTTTTGGAAAAACCTAGAACGCTTAGGGTTTGGGAGAAGAATGAAAAAGAAGACGAGAAAAGAGGAGAAAGGAGAAGAAGAAGCAAAAACACCAAGAAACGTTGCGTGGATTTCGTCCGGGGTGATACCTTTAAGGTATGTGTATCTTTTGTATGGGGTTACTTAGCTCTCACACCAAGCTATTCAATTCAACAAATTTATAGGCTATTTCATGTTAGAAATTAATATCTTAAAAAAAATTTGATTTCACGTTGATTGGATTGTTGACTGCCATTGTTGGTTTGATTATTGTTTATTCGACTTATTTTATGGTGAATTCAGTATCTTTGTTAGTACTAAGGGTTGCCCACGTATAGTGAAAGAACTGGGAAGTTTTTCAGAGTTTGGAGATGGAAAAGAGTTGAAAAATTCATTCGACGCACTAAGGTAGGGGCAGGCGCGGCGGGCCTGCAGTATGAAATTGGCCTAAGTCAACCAGGGCTAGCGTGGTGTGCCGCCTATGCACCCAAACTAGGCCTTACTCAACTGAGTTTGGCGTGGCGCGCCACCAGTACGCCCAATTTGGAATTTTTCATCTAGTTTTTGTAGTTTACCCTTTTATGTCTTTCCAATGTACATTAACATCTTCCAATGATTCTAACTACATTAAATGATATCGAAATAACTAGAAATCACCCAAAGAACTCAAACCGAAACCTTGAATCCATAAATCAATCAAGGGAAGCCAAGATCAAAGTTAAAGAAGTTATGAGTCAAGTTTAAAAGCTACGAAGCAAGTCAAAGTGAGTTCTTAAAGTCTTGAAAGAGTCTTAAACATTAATTTTATATATTACTTAAGGCTCAAGTTACAAGTCGAGCAAGGAGAAAAGAGTTGAGCTCATTTCTCAAAAGCTATAAGGGGACTAAGTATTCCCTAAGGGTTTATAAATGTTTCACATTTAAGTTAAAACGAAACAAAGAGTTCCAAAAGAGTTTCGAACTAAAAGGGGAACATTGATTCCAAAAAGGAGCTTTTCAAAAGCTAAAGGGTTCAGTAAATTATCTAGACCAAAAGGAAGGAAGTTTTATTAAAAGTATGAGCTAAAGTATGTTTTGGGAGTAGTATTGAGCCGCGATATAGGGAAAATAGTTCATGTTAAATCAAGTCTCCATGTAGCAATGACGCCATCATGGGAATGATGGATCATACTTTTTATATGATCACGTAAGTTTATCTAGTGGAACTACTAATCTAAGTAAGGTCTTGTACCGATGGAAAGGAATACGATAGTTCTGGCATTGTGGGAAAGATGTTGTATCACCACTTAGGCTCATAGTGGCAGTTGTCGGTTAGAGAAACTCCCACATAAATTGTATTACATTCATATACAAATAATGTTATATATATATATATATATATATATATATATATATATATATATATCATATCATGATGCAGATGTAGGTAACCAGGATCAGTATGCAGCGATTCATTAATCCAAATTGAGCTCCAGTGTCAGTGATGATCCTCATTGCATTCCGGATGACATCTATTTCATTTACTTTAGTAGTTTAGTTTTAGTATGTTATGGGGGTTGTACCACATCCATCTCCGTCAGTTTAGAGGCTTCATAGACAAGGTCGTAGTTTAGTTTAAGTCTCATTTATTTTATACTTTGTATATTTAAGTCATCTTAAAATGATTCTTTAAATTATGTGTCTGAGATGAGTAAGTCTTCCGCAGAGTTAAGAATTTCAGTTCAAGGGTTCTCTTAGGGGGCAAAAATGGTCTTCGAGTGCCAGTATCGTCAGGGTGTAGGCTTGGTGCGTGACAAACTTGGTATCACAACATAGAGTTCAAGAGTTCTAGGGAATTAGTCATCGGTATTGAAGCACACCACATCTTTGATTAGGAGGCTACAACATTTAAGAATGTTTCACTTATTTCATATTCTTTTCTTAAAATAGAGTTTATCGATAAAACTCTCTCTCTCTAATTTGTGCTTACACGTATTTTAAGATTTAACATTCCTCCACAATGAGAAGTCAGAGGTCGACCAGCCCATATAAAAGTTGAGGAAAATGTGGTACAAATGCACCGGATGTGCAACCCCAAGGAGAGTTTACAAATGACTAATTTCGGGAATCTGTCCAGATTAAGTCATGTAGTAACCAATCAAGTCGGGCAACAGAAGCTCGATGACAAGGCGTTGACACCTCGAGTGTTTATGAATTCTTGAGAATGAATCCTCCTAGTTTCATTGGTTCAAGCACTACTGAGGATCCGGAAAACTTTGTGGAAGAGTTGAAGAAAGTGTTTGAGGTAATGCATGTGGTTGATACTGAGAAGGTTGAATTAGCCGCATATCAACTAAAGTGTGTGACTAGAACCTTGTTTGATCAATGGATGGATGGGAGAGTTGAGGGTACACCACATCCAAGTTGGGCTTGTTTAGAAGAAGCCTTCTTAGGGAGGTTCTTTCCCCGAGAATTGAAGGAAGCAAAAATATGGGAGTTCCTCACTTTGAAATAGGAATTTATGATTGTTCATAAGTATGGGTTAAAGTTCACTCAACATTCTCACCATGCCCTGGAAATGGTGAAGGACATGAGGAGCAGAATGAGCTTGTTTGTTACCGCATTAGGTAGTGCTTCAGGCAAAAAAGTTAGGGCTACAATGTGGATTAGTGATATGGACATATCCAGGATTATGGTCTATGTGCAAAAAGTTGAAGAGGAGAAGCTGAGGGACCTAGAATAATACAAAAACAAGAAAGCAAAGACTGGGAATAAGATTGAGCAGAAGAAAGACAGCTCAAGTCAACCACAATTTCAAATATCAAAGGGGCATGCCCCATCATCTTTTAGTGCACCTACGCCCAGAAACGGAGGTGAGTATAATGGAAAGAATTCACATCACTTCAATGCTAGACCAGCGCAACCCCAAGGTAGTTTGGTAAAAGGAGGTAGTAGAATTTTTGCATATGATAAATGTGATAGAACCCGCCCTTGTAGATGTCGTAATGGCCAGACAGGTTGTTTCAAGTGTAGTAAAGAGGGTCACTTCAGGAGAGAGTTCCCCAAGAATAAGCAAGGTGGTGGAAATTTAGGAAATAGAGCTCATTCTTCAGCAGCTGCTCCACCAGACGGGGCTGCACCTAGGAGAGCTACTTCTGGTACTAGTAGAGGAACAAATCGCTTGTATTCTCTCAATCATCGCCAACAACAAGACAACTCTCCACATGTTGTCACGGGTATGATCAAAGTCTTTGATTTTTATGTTTATGCTTTGATAGACCCAAAATAATTTTATCTTTTGTAAACCCTTATGTTTCAAATCAGTTTGATATTCTTTTCGAAAAACTTTGTGAACCTTTTTGTGTTCCTACACCTGTTGGGGAGTTTGTTCTGGTGGAAAGAATTTATCATGATTTTCCTATTTCAATCAATCACAAGAGCACCATGGCTGATTTAATAGAGTTAGACATGCTGGATTTTGATGTCATTCTAGGTCCGAAACGGATCCATGCATGTTATGCATCAATAGATTGCAAAACATGAGTTGTCAAGTTTTAGATTCCTAATGAGCTAGTCATAGAGTGGACTAGTAGTTCAACAGTGACTAAGGGTTGTTTCATTTTGTATCTTAAAGCAAGGAAGTTAGTTTCTAAGGGGTGTATCTATAGCTTAGTCTGAGTTAATGACGCAAGTTTAGAGGTACCTTCCCTTCAGTCAGTGCCTATAGTCAGTGAGTTTCCAGAAGTCTTTCCTGATAATCTTCTCGGAGTCCCTCCCGAAAGAGAGAGAAACTTTAGCATAGACATTATCCCATATACTATTCCTATCTCTATTGAGCAATACATAATGGAACCAACAGAGTTAAAAGATCTAAAATAACAAATAAAGGATTTTTTAGATAAAGTCTTCATTCGACCAAGTGTCTCATTGGGGCGCTTCAGTCTTGTTTGTTAGGAAAAAGGATGGGTCCCCTAGGATGTGTATTTACTACCTACAATTGAATATACCGTCAATAATAAATATCCTTCCCAAGGATAGATGATCTCTTCGATCAACTTCAGTGTGCTTCTTGCTTTTCCAAGATTGACCTCATATAAGGCTATCATAAGTTGAAAGTAAGGGAATGTGATATTCCAAAGACAACTTTTAAAATAAGGTATGGGCACTAAGAATTTTTGGTTATGTACTTTGGTTTGACAAATGCACCTCCAATGTTCATGGATCTTATAAACAGAGTCTTCAAACCTTATTTAGATCAGTTTGTCATCGTCTTCGTGTATAAGATACTGATTTATGCATGGAATGGAGAAGATCATGCTAGTCACCTAAGGATTGCTCTTCAGACTTTGAGAGATAAATAGATATATTTCATGTTCTCCAAGTGTGAGTTTTGTCTTAAGTCTGTGGTATTCTTAGATCACATTGTTTCTGGTGAAGGGATAAAAGTTGACAATCAGAAGATTGAAGCAGTTCATAGTTTGCCTAGACACATATCTCCAACAGATATAAAGAGTTTCTTGGGTGTGGCAGGCTATTATTGGAGATTTGTTGAAGTATTCTCATCTATATCATATCGTATGACCAAGTTAACTTAGAAAACAGTCAGGATTCAATGGTCTAAAGCTAGTGATAAAAGCTTTCAGGGATTGAAAAAGAGATTGACTACCGCACCAGTTTTGGCCTTACTAGAGGGTACTCAAGGTTTTTTGGTGTATTGTGATGCATCGAGAGTTGGATTGGGTTGTGTGTTGATGCAGAATAACAAGGTTATAGCTTATTCTTCCAGACAGTTAAAGATTCATCAGCAGAATTATCAAACTCATGACTTAGAATTGGTTGCAGTAGTGTTTTTGCTTCAAAGATATGGTGTTACTACTTATATGGTGTTCATGTTGATGTATTCACTAATCACAAGAGCCTCCAATATGTGTTCACTCAGAATGAACTTAACCTCAGACAAAGAAGGTAGGTGGAATTACAAAAGGATTATGATATGAGTGTTTTTACCACCCAGGTAAGGCTAATGTGGTTGTTGATGCCTTAAGTAGTTTGTTCATGGGAAGTATTTCCCATATTGAAGAAGAAAAGAGAAGTTAGCTAAAGGTGTGCACAGACTCGCAGGTTTGGTAGTCACACTCCTGGATTCCACAAAAGGAGTCATAGTAGTGACCAATGGGGCTGAGTCATCATTAGTGCCAGAAGTGAAAGAGTAGCAAAACCAAGACCCTATTTTTCTTGATTTAAAGGATAATGTCCATAACCAAAGAGTATTGACTTTTGAACAAGAGGAAGATGGTGTGCTAAAGTACCAATGCAGATTATGTGTAACTAAGATGGATGGACTCCAAGAGAGGATCTTGGAGAAGGCTTATAGCTCCAGATATTTCATTCATCCGTGTTCCACCAAGATGTCCCGCTATTTGAGAGAGGTATATTAGTGGGAAGGCATGAAGAAAGATTTTTTTGAGTTTGTTGTCAAGTGCCCAAATTGCCAACAAGTAATGGTAGAGCACCAAATGCCTTGAGGTTTAGCTCATAATAAAGAAATTATGGAATAGAAGTTGGAGATGATTAATATGGACTTCATCATAGGATTTCCAAGGTCTCGAAGGCAACACGATTCTATTTGGATAATTGTCGATGGAGTGACAAAGTCAGCCCATTTCTTGCCAGTAAAGACTACTTATTCTGCTAAGAAATATTCTAAGTTATACCTTCAAGAAGTTGTAAGACTTCATGAAGTTCCGATCTCCATTATTTCATATAGAGGAGCAAAATATACTGCTCAGTTCTGGAAATCTTTCCAAAAAGTTTAGGGTTCAAAGTGAATTTGTGTACTGCTTTTCCTCCTCAGATAGATGGACAAGCAAAGCGTACTATCCAAACCTTCGAAAAATTTTTGATATCTTGTGTGATCTACATCAAGTGAAATTTGGATGATCATATACCTCTTATTGAGTTCACTTATAACAATAGTTACCATTCGAGCATCTAAATGGCTCCGTATGAAGCTCTTTATGGAGAAGATGTTGATCTCCTATTGGGTGGTTCGAAGTTGGTGAAGCATGGTTGACAGACACCATATAGTTAACCAAGCTATGGAGAAGGTGAAAGTGATCCAAAAAAGGTTAATGATGGCACAGAGTCGCAAAAAGTTCTATACAAATGTTAGGAGAAGACCTTTAGAATTTGAGGTAAATGATTGGGTGTATCTTAACGTTTCACCCAAGGAAGGAGTTATGGGGTTTGGTAATAAGGGGAACTTAGTCCCCGGTATATTGGACCTTATAAAATCTCCAAGAGAGTGGAAAATATGGCTTATGAGTTGGAGTTAACCCAAGAGTTAGCACTAGTTCATCCGGTGTTTCATATTTCCATGTTGAAGAAGTGATTGGGAGATCCTTCATTGATAATTCCAACAGAGAATTTGGGGAGTAAGGATAAATTATCATATGAAGAAATTCCATTTCAAATTTTGGATCATAAAGTTCGTAAGTTAAGGTTGTAGGAAGCTGCTTAGGTCCTTTGAAGGAACCAATTCGTTGAAGAAGCGACTTGGGAAGCTTAGGATGACATGAAGAAGAGATATCCACATCTTTTTGAATCCGGAGAAACTGCAAATCAAGGTATAAAACTCTCTTCTTTGAAATTTATAAGGCTACGCATAAGCATGCTATTACTTGCTTTTGTTTGTTGAGTGTTGAAATGATGTTACTACCCTTAGCTTAGTGAAAGAATTCTCATTCGAGGACGAATCTTCCCAAGTGGGAGATATTGTGACATCTTGTAACTTGAATTAACTAGGACTAAGCTAAGAAACCAAGAATAATCATTTTTGGAACTAAGTAGGGAAATTTGCAAAATTTATAGCTTTCAAAAGTGAGTTTTGGCTATTTTTAAACAACCATAAATTCTAGATCATAAGTGCAACAATGGTCTTCAATCGGAAATCCAACCCAGAATGTAGGATCAAGGCGTGACAAAATAAGATAGAAGATGCATGCTTGAAAAAGTTTGTGGTCGCAAAGCTTTTACATTATAAAATGACAGATTTCAAAAATTGGACAAACAAGTGTAGAAACTTCAACTTATTCTCCATGATCTAATTGCTAAGGACATGGTAGTTAATGAAGAGTTTCAACTGCATGCAATGATTGAGAAGTTACCTCTTTCATGGAAGGACTTTTAGAATTATCTAAAGCACAAATGTAAGGAAATGAAGCTTGAAGATCTTGTGATTCCTCTCGAAATTGAGCAAGCTACTAAGACCATCGAAAATAACTCTCATTACAGTTTGACAATAATTAGAGTTAATACTGTTGAAGAAGCTCCTATCAAAGGCAAGAAGAAAACGAAGTCCAACATACAAAAGTCAGAACAAGCGAATAAGAATTTCAAGGGAAACTATTACAATTATGGTAAGGTTGGTCATAAGTCTATTACTTCCATGCTCCAAGAAATGATAAATATAACGATAAAGGAAAAAGTCAAGAAAATATTATGGAAGAGATGGAAGATGCAGATGACCTCTTTGCAATGATGTCAGAGTGCAACTTAGTTGGAAATCTCAAGGAGTGTTTTCTCGATACATGTGCCACTCGACAGATTTGGTCTATGAAAGAAGCCTTTGCAACGTACACTCTTTCAGAATTTGGTGAAGATTTATTCATAGGGAACAAAGCAACAACAAGGACTCCAAGAACTCGAAAAGTAATGTTGAAAATGACATCATTCAAGGTGTTGACTTTGAACAATGTTCTACACGTTCCTACTATTAGGAAGATTTTTATTTTTGGTGTGCTCCTCGTTAAGAACGGGTTTAAGTGTTTCCTAGTTAGTGACAAAGTTGTACCAAGTAAGAATGAGATGTTCTTATGAAAGGTTGTAATAGTAAGTTAACCATTAAGAACATCTTATTCTTACTTATTACAATTTCTTCACTAACTAGGACACACTTAAAAGATCTTTATACTCCTTGTTTTGACTATATACGAAAAATCCACAAGGCGCACGATTTCATGGATAGTTTCATTCGAGATTATGATTGTCACATCCAGGTTTACCCCCTAGATATAAACGGTGTAATCGCCCTCTTGACGACTAAGACTAGTCTCTTAGCTTACATCATCACATTCATAAGTCGAATTTAACGGAAAATTTAAAACTTTTATTACTTCTACTTGGAGGTTTACATAGACCTCTACATACACATAATATATATCGAGTATATATAGACCTTTCGTATAGTAGCCCAACAAGATTCATGACCAACACCCTACTTCACACAATATGACATTTAGATATACGTTTCATCTTACTTTAACAATATAGACTAATATATATCCATAAATGAATTAACCATCATGTAGTATCAACAATATGCAAGCCCTTCATATAAATATCATATATAATCATAAACATCAACATATATAAGAACATCCTCATAAGAATTCCCTCAAGACTAACTAGTGCAATGCGTAGGTAGACTTTCATACCCCTACCTAGAAAAAGCTAGACCCCTTAGGTTGTCCTAGTCAGAGTTCAATCCTTTGATTAATTTTACCTTTTGGAAACATATTTCTCTAACCTAAATAGACCACATGAGCTAGTGTGAAATCCGCAGTCATATAATGTTACACCGAAAGAAGGCAGACTACTTGCCAAGGTAGTACCAAAATATAAAACATAGCAATTACGTGGATCCACTAGCTACTATTCCTATAGGGAAAACATAGTTCAAGAAATAGGAGATATAGTTGTGAAACTCTTTATGCTCCATGCATTGTAGTCTCCAATCTCAAGAGTACTTTAGTGCTCCTACCTTCCCTATGTGGGAAGGGACACTCCTCAATCTAGTTCACTTGGTGCTAAGCTAGAGTCCCTTTTTGAAATGTCTTTAATCCTTTAATTATCAATCAAATATTAGTTTAGGTCATAGGTTCTACCCCTTGTATAATCATCATTAGAAATATCTCAATAAGAATTGTATGAGTATAAGTCCTTTCATTACAATTCATATAAGTGAGGTTTAGCACATTAGCATTTCATATCATAATAAGGCACATTGATAGCCATCACCATACTTATACCATATACACCTTAATCAACCTAAACATTGTCAAGACATTTCAATTTAACATCAAACCACCCTATCAATCCTAATAAAAGTCTTACTCCAATATAACATCATTACTCAATTATATATTGGAAATAAAGAATAGGTATCATTAGACTTACTAAGTCTCCTTCATAGTTCATCATTTAGGCCTTACCATAAACCCTCAATTAAATCTAATTTATATGTTCAACATCATAATTCAATAATCAACATGATAACAATACTAGAAGAGTCACTAGACCATAATTCAATACTAAATAAAAGCTTAAAACAAGATACTTAGGCCAATTTTCATAACCTAGATCACTTTTCAAGAACAAGTATCAAAGGAAACAATTTATCTTAATTTTTTCATGATTGGGGTAAAAACATCATCTATTAGTGATTTAACCTATAATCAAGTAAATTGAATCAATCACAACCCATTTCACATAAAGATCAAACCTAGGGTTAAGGGTTAAGGATCATACTCTTCAA